GAGTCTGGAGGACCTCATGAAGCTTTCCCCAGAGGAGCTGCTGCTGCGTTGGGCCAACTACCACCTGGAGGAAGCCGGCTGTGGAAAGATCAACAACTTCAGCTCCGACATCAAGGTGACAACAAAAACATCTGCTCCAAGCACACATACACACTCGCTAGCAAAAGTGTTTATGAAATTTCTTCCATTTTGTTACCCCACAATCACAACTTCACTGGATTTTATGTGATAAATTGACACAAAGTAGTGCCTCTACCGTAAGTGGAAGGAAAATTACTCCTGTTCAGTATCAGTTATAAATGGGTCATACAAGCCGTCTGTTAAAAGCTAAATAAGCTAGCTTGAAGTTGTTGTTGAGCCTGGGTTAACTTCTTCAATCGGGTTTATTGCAGGACTCCAAGGCGTACTACAATATCCTGAACCAGGTGGCACCCAAAGGAGACGAGGATGGAGTTCCTCCCATCGCCATCGACGTGTCAGGAATCAGGGTGAGATTTTATCAACCAATCAGAATCGTTTGTTCCGGAGAGAAGTCCCACCTTCCTGACGCCCCAGACTTTCATTCATGTCTCTGCAGGAGAAAGAGGACCTGAAGAGGGCTGAATGCATGCTGGACCAGGCTGACAAGCTTGGCTGCAGGCAGTTCGTCATGCCCGCCGACGTCGTCCGCGGCAACCCCAAGCTCAACTTGGCTTTTGTTGCCAATCTGTTCAATAAGTACCCAGCTCTGAAGAAGCCAGAGAACCAGGACATCGACTGGAGCTCCATCGAAGGTTCGTCTACATCTTCCAAAGACCCGGGTCTCCTCTGTCGTTTCTTACTGTGCAGGTTTGTTTTGGGGGAAGTTTGATCAGTTTTTGCCTGTAGGTGAAACTAGGGAGGAGCGAACCTTCAGGAACTGGATGAACTCTCTTGGTGTCAACCCTCGTGTCAACCATCTCTACGCGTAAGAAAGCTCTGTTAGGCATCCACCTGTAGCCTGCCGATAACCACAGAGACTAATGGACAATGTGTGTGTGTTACAGCGACATTGATGATGCCCTCGTCATCTTCCAGCTGTATGAGAAGATCAAAGTACCAGTAGACTGGGACAGAGTCAATAAGCCTCCCTACTCTAAACTGGGCAGCAACATGAAGAAGGTACAACAGGAAACTTCTGATTTGAAGACTTTCTCTCTGTCCTTGGACTTGAACTAACCATCTGCTGTTCTGGTTTCCAGCTGGAGAACTGTAACTATGCAGTGGAACTGGGCAAAAAGGAGGCCAAATTCTCTCTGGTTGGCATCGCGGGTCAGGACCTGAACGCAGGAAACCGAACCCTCACCCTCGCTCTGCTCTGGCAGCTCATGAGGAGGTAACCTCTCATTCCAGTTTTCTTCTAACACGTTCCTTTAGGGAAGATGTTTTCCATCTGAGTGTCCAGATCCATGGGACTTATTGAGGACCAATGCCATATTGAGAAAATCCAACCTAAATATTAATAGCTTGATCTTCCTGAAGTAATTTTAGCTTTTATTGCTATTGCTTGAATATTCCATTACTCTTGGACGTTTCATGGAGATTTCTTTTAGCCTCAGGACAACTTATCTTGGTACACGCAAGGTTCATCAAAACAGCACGCTGTATATGAAGTTTATGCCGAGGGCTGTAGGCTTGTCTGCCTTCCACAGGCCATGGGATCCTTATTATAATGGATGGTATGATAAACTCTATGAAACACCAGTAAATTCATTGGGATTCTGCCAAAAACTGGTTTTACAACAGGATACAATGTGGAAGTCCATGGCAAGATAACTAGGAAAATGCTTCACCAGACAGGAAATCTGCCTTCTTCCAAGGCCAAATCAGTCCTAAAACTTAAAGAGAGGACCCAGGACTAGCTTATCTAGAGAGACCTTAAGAGCGTTGTAGGAGACCCATTGCTGTCCTGTTTTTAAAAAGAAGTGGAACAAACTATTGACAACATTGGTATCAATATTTGTGCCACCTGTGTTTTTGTTGCAACAATGATTTCTAATCCACAGAATGAGGGTTTGGTTTGTGGGATCATCGGTACTGCAAGAAAATATGAATGTACCTGAAAGCTTTTTACACATCTTTAACTAGGGGTGCCATCTTTCCACTGGTTGTTGCGTCACACCTTCATCCGTCTCTTCCTCAGGTACACCCTGAACATCCTGGAGGATCTGGGTGACGGACAGAAGGTTATAGATGACACCATCGTATCCTGGGTCAATGGAACACTCACAGAGGCTGGAAAAGGCACGATCTCAAGCTTCAAGGTAAATCACCCAAACAAGTCATCCTTTAGGTCAGGAATTCTGGGTAATATGATGCTGTAGCATGAAGATCAAGTTTCCTTTTACGTATTATAATAGATGGTGGCGCTGTTCACCACATAAACACTTTAGAGGTTGAACATTTCCATTGAACAACCTCAGATGATGCCTCTGTGTGTGTGCAGGACATGTCTATTAGCAGCAGTATGCCGGTTCTGGATCTGATCGACGCCATCCAGCCCGGATCGATCCGATACGACCTGCTGAAGATCGAAGACCTCACAGAGGAGGAGAAACTCAACAACGCAAAGTATGAACACGAGTTTCGCACTTAAGATATTTGAGCAGATTTAGATCAGGAAACAGCTCCAGAAGACTCAAGAGTCAGGTCTAGATTGGTTCCTGTGTTTCACCTAACCTGAGCTGTAACACTGTGTCACCAGGTACGCCATCTCCATGGCCAGGAAGATCGGCGCCCGGGTGTACGCGCTGCCCGAGGACCTGGTGGAGGTCAAACCTAAGATGGTGATGACGGTGTTCGCCTGCCTGATGGCACGTGGCATGAGGAGAGCCTAAAGAGACCGGACGAAGCCTTTGCCGTTTGCCTGGTGAACCTGAGAGCAAAGGGGAGGAGCAGCACTCATCTTTTCTTCTTTAAGCAAGGAGGTTGTGAAACTTTACAAAACCAGTTTGTTACACCATTTTAAACTCGGACAATATCTTAAAAACATAAAGCACCTGTACAGTACAAACAATTTAACAATAATCCAACCCGTCCCAGTGACTGATCAGCTAATCCACAACATAAATTAGAGGCTTCATATTAAAACACAGTATTATTTATTTGTGTTTGGGTCCAGTTGATCTGAATTGTCAGCTTCAGATGCCATATCATGAAGAATTTTTGCTTCCATTTCATCCCACTAAATCTAATTTCTAGTAACAAAGCCATAATGCTCTGTAAATGTGAATGGATTAGCCTTCTGTTCATTCCATGTCTACAATAAATAAAGAAATTGTTTTTATTATAACGTTGGTGGCGTTTCATTCATTGACTTATCCTGACGTAAAGAACTGAAACCTCACAGGGTTCTGGTCCAACATGGTCCAGGAAAGTTAATTGTTACTATGGTTACGTGTTAATGGACAGAATATTAACCAGATACTGAGAAAGACAAAACGTTTAAAAAGATATGCATGGAGTTAATTCTCACCTAGAAAAAGTTAAGTTTGAGTGAAAGAATGAAAACAATCGAGTCAAACTAGCTGGATTAGCTCCGTGTTTGCTAGCTAGCACAGCTGCTACACCACATTCTGCTAAATAACTAAGACAAAAGATTACATCATCTTTACTGTACCTGTTTCTGTCATCTTTTTATTCCTTGAGCACCAGGCAATTTGAGCCGTTTTGTACATTTTTGTAACTTACAAAACTCACCTCACTCAGTAGAGCGAGCAACGGAGCAATGTGTGGTAAACAGGAGCCAACAGCTGAGCAGTGTCATTTTTAACCCTTGTATGTAGAAATGGGGTCCAATCGACCCCACACACGTAAAACCTGTATCATTGCCTCAGTCCTCACACGCACAAGGGTCAAATATAGACTTTAATATTTTTTGCCATTCCGCTAAATTAGTGTAGATTTTTTTTTATATTAGAAAATTATTTTTAGAACCTATTAGTTTTTTTCATGGCGCCCTTTAAGACTCCTGCCAACCTTAGCAAGTGAAGTATAGTGAAGACTGGCGCTAAGGTGATAGTCTTTCAGAAAACCTTTGGAAAACCATTGGGTTACAAAACAGCACCCAATGAAAGAAAGGACTACATCGGGCTTCAGTGTCTCCCTGCTTCACTAAATCTGATTTAAATAATTAAATTCCTTCCTCAGGATGTCATCAAGCTCTGCCGGATCCTGGTTGAAATGTCATCATTTCAATCAGGTGTGCTGAACCTGAAAGATCCAAAGCGTGTCAGATACTGGTCCTCAATGACACTCATGACTTCCTTCCTCCAACAGTTTACCTGAGAGCTGCGCCAACCTGGTGACCAATAATATTTCACTCAGCTACACAAATCCATTTTTAACTTCTCTAACGTAAAAGTTCATGGTTGATATTTTCGTCACATTAAATGGCTGCTTCTTCCTATCCAAGTTAGTGAACTTACAAGTAAACACAGTTGTGTACAAAATATAAAAACTCCCCTCCTCTCCACAGATTAACTCAAACACACCCAGCTTAGATTATGCAGCAGAACTATGATTTGAGTTCTGAAGCGGCTTAGTCAAAGTCTAAACTTAAAACCCAACTATAACTGCTGTTATAACCTTTGACTGTTCACACTTAAATGAAATTAATTAAAGCAATTCTGCAAAGAACTGTCTGCATGTCTCCATGGAAACGATATGATTTCAGCTTTGTGGGAGGAAGTGAAACAAACGATCAGTGTTCCTGAGCCACCAACCTCAATGTGTGACATCATTCTGACCAGATTCAATTTAGACTCATCTTCACCTTATTTAGCATTTAGCACATAGGAACTGCAGACATTAAATGAGTCACTAGTTCCTGATTTGACACAAGATCGGCAGCTTTCTCAACTTTTTTATTTTTATTTTTTATAACGTTTAGAATATGAGGCCGCTCTGACATCATTTCAGGAAGCGAGTTCTGAGATAAGTTTAAAGAGTTGGCAATAAAATCAATTCAGGAGACAAAAAGCTGATTTTTTTTCCCTTTTTTTACTTTTGTAGGAAGAGAGAAAACACAGGGAGAGATGGTGAGATGCGAGTCAAAAGACTTCACGTCGGATTAAAAAATATATATATTTACACTATTTACTCTGAGCACAGTGAGGAGCTGCTGATTTCACTGTGGCTGTTAAACAGGAAGCTGCTTTTCTCCCAGCATCTCAAGGTGGCGCTGCGTCTCTGTGCGGCTCTTCATTTGGCCAGTTTGGCTTCGGGGGGGTTCTCCCCGGTGTCCAGGGTCTTCAGGAGGCGGAAGAGGCCGGCGGCCTCACGGATGCGGCTGAACTCGATGCAGAAGGCCTGGACCTCGATGAACAGGTCCTGGACGTTGATGATCTTGTTTCGGATCAGCGACTGGAGGAAGACGCAGACCAATCGGACCAGCCGATTCTGGAACAGACAAACCATAGATGAGGAAAAACTGGCACACAGTGACCGAGGCCCTGTCCACCTGTAGCCAAGGCTTTTTTAAAAACTCATCTCTTTGCCACATCACTTTTAAAAATAATTACATCATACATGCATGATTGATTTCAGAAAAAAATTTCATCCAGGTGAACCTGAACAGATCCGTCTGTCAACGTTGTTTTACGGAAAGCCAAAAGGCCTAAAAGTGTCATATGTTTTCCCAGATGTCCATCTACATGAGGACTAGGCCTCAGACGTATTCACACTTTGACAGCATTTCCACTTTATGTCACATTATAACCGAAAATGTCAACATGTTAAAAAGACTCAGCATAATTCTACTGGAGTGCATCAGTCTCCACAACTAAAGCTAACACTCTCCGTTGGGCTACATGCTACTGCTGTGCTTTGACTAGGACAACTGCTAACAGGCATTTTCTACCTGAACATATAATTTATGATGATCAACACACCTGCATGTACTTGTCCTTGATTTGCTCACATGTGGAGATGCAGTTGGAGATGTAGAGGTGGATAAACTCTGGAGGCAGGTCCACGGCTGTGGTCAGTCTGATGGAGGGAGGATGAAGAACAATCAACCCCAAATAATAAACAACCGCTCCTTATAGCAAAGTGTCGATGTTTTCACACACCAGGAAACAAATCTGTTGAATCAATCATCAAAAGTTCAAAGGGTTTCTACAACTCAAATTTGAGGCTCTTTAAGAAATTATAAGACCATTATGAATGAAACAGCAGAAATGTACACAACAAAAATCACATATTTTAGTGTCAAGCTCTTTTTGTACACAGTACATGTAGCATCATATGGGTTTGAGACCATATGATGGTCCGTCCAGCCAACTGGTGATAAAGTTACACGCTACCCATGATAGATGAAAAAAGCTAGCTAGTTAGCAAGGGTATGTTAGCAGCTAGTTAGCGGTAGCCTGAAACAAATCAGAGAACGGAATGAAGATTTCTGAGTGCATCTCAAACTTTTGCCTGACGGAAAAATCCTGTCAGAAAGATAAACTACATGGAGTAAGAGATTAAACAGTCCTGCCACGACAACATTTAAGACGTGTGATTAACGTATTCAAGGTCAAATTACATATTTTTAATCCAATTTAAGACATTTTAAGGGCTTAATTTTAGATGCATGAATTGAAGGCTTTTAAAGACTTGAAGAATGGACGAACATCAGGAACGGATGTCTCACTAAAGGATTTTTTTAAACTCGTTGCAGATTTCCTTCTTGTGATTTTTCCATAAATCCAGCTCAGCTCCAACAGAAAGTCAGCCTCCAGTCCAGCCCCACCTGTTGACCACCTCCATGGAGTGCAGCGACATGTCCATGTTGACCAGCACTGAGAAGTACTCAGTGATCTGGCTGCTCTGCATCAGCTTCAGCAGCATCTCGATGGCCACCAGCGGGTTGTTCTCCACCAGGTCGGGCAGCTTGGCCGGCGACAGGCCGATGTGGTACACCAGCTTGGGGTCCTTCTCCAGCTCGGCCAGCAGCTGCACACAGGACAAACGGCTGGCCAGGTTAGCGCCCGGCTGAAAAGCTGACAAACCAAGCTGGTGAAGGTCCAGCTGGAAAACTTAAAAATGCCCACGTTTTTGTGGTCAGTGAACACACCATATTGATGATGATGAAAACTTTCATATCAGTAGCCGTGTTTCCATTACAAATGTTCACAAAACTTTTTACATGTTCTGCTAATTAAAAACAAGAAAAAAACTATTTCACAATCGTGGTGTTTCGATTAAATAAGAGATGCAATTAAAATCACATTTTGAATATGTTCACATGATAAATCATTAGAAATCATGTGGCATCATCCTCCTGTCTTCTTTGTTGTTTCCTCCAGTAGTAACATCCAGCTGTTGATCACTGGTTCTATTTTTTTATACCCATTTATCTTTCCAGTGTTTCAGGAACCACAGATCATTCATAAAACTTCTTCAGAAATCTGGACAGTGGATGCTGACATTAACATTGGGGTCGTCTGTGCTAGCCGGTACATTAGCATTGAGATGCTAGTTTAGGCGTGAATAGCTTTGCTGATAGGCAAAACTATTCTTTAGCACAAAAATAATCTTTTCCACATTCCAGCAGTTTGTTTTTTGAAACAGAAATGAATCCCCAGTGGGCCATTAGAAGCAGACTGGTCATCTGTTGTTATTGTTTGCTGATGTCGCTTGTGCGACAGATTTACGGATGTACCAGAAACATGACTAGAAAGGTTCTGCCTCTGAACTTTCGTATGTAAAAGAAATAAATTTAATTAATTGCATTAAAACTTTTAACATTTTAAAATCTATCCAATGAATTAATCAAAATAAATGTGTTAAAGTCCTGGCCTTCAAAAAAACCCCCCAAAAAGACAACAAAAAAAACAACAAAAACGGATGCTGTGATACTTTGTGTCTGAGCTAAATGAGTGTGTCCAGCTCACGGTGACCCACCTGGGACTGCTGCTGGGCGGACAGTGGGCTCTTAAAGGCCTTAGACATGATGCGTTTGATCTCCAGGCCTGTGCTGTTCTTCACACACATGGAGCGGTCCCACTGGATGCTGTGGTCCGGCTCGGTCGGGTTCAGCCACGCTAGCTCGTCCTCACACACGTGGAGAGGGGGTGGGGGCCGGATGAACTCCGGCCTGAAGTGACCTGAGCCCAGAACGACCCGGTTACCGTTTGTGACCCTGTGCTGTTTACAAAGCAGAACATGGAATAAAAAGTAAACCCTTACTCTCCAGCGGAGGGCGTGGCCCCGTGACCAGAGACTCTATGATCTGATTGGCTACGGAGCTGTCGAATCCTGAGTTGGAGGAGTCTGGGTCCGGGTCGTTCAGGATGCTGGGGAAGCTGGCTTTGCTCTGAGTGGGGAGCTCTGACTGACGCTCTGCAACGCAAAGACACACACACTGGATCTCAATTCATGAACTTACCTCTAACACACGGATTCAACTCAACGTTTACAACAAGAAACTAAAAAAGACATGGTGTCCACTGACCTGCTAAAGCCAGCTGCAGCCCACTGATGTCAATGGACTGGGGCATGTTGGTGATGTCCATGCAGGACACCTGTCTGGGCGTCTTCTTGAACAGATCTCTGGGCGGCGCCAGCATCAGCTGGGACAGGAAGAACTTCTCCGGCTGGGTGATGGGCGGCAGGAAACCTGGACACACAAAACGGACACAAGGCGTTCAGTTAAAGACCTGAATGGACGACAGATAAAACCCAATTCTGACTGTATGAGCCGCGTGAAGAGGAAAGCTGCAAATGAATGCTACAAAATTATGAAAATATAAAATGGGCTTTCAAACACAGAAATGCCATTTTGCGTCTCTCTCACACACACACAAAATAATTCAGAAGAGCACATTTTTTGTCAAGAAGAAAAAAGGTTCCCGGGCACCACCTAGTGTCTATATGTGCACATCCCCAGGTAAAAATTATTAGAAAGAAGGATTAAGATATTAAATTCTTTTCACAAACAGTTTTTCTTCAGTATCCCGTAGAAATAATGTTGTTTGAAAGCATCATTATCTAGATGTTATTTGTGAGACCTTAGTTACAATGCTTTGGATTTATTCTCAAACCGACATAATGGATCAGATTTTTCGCAGTCTCTGAGTTAAAACCATACTATTCTGCATAAACCACCATGATAGAGTATTAGGACCACAGTAAGAAAAAGTAAAACTTGCGAGAATTATTATTTTTTACATTTATTTTTCCTTTGGGATCACTAAAGTTTTTCTTAATAAAGTCGTAATGTTACGAGAATAAACTCATATTTAGGCCTGTCGCAATAAGCCATAGATCAATTAATTGCATGATAAATTAAAACAAGGTCAATAATCTCCACTTGGATGACTTATTGTTTTTCTCTTTCCCCAAAAAACTGGATGACAAAAGTTTCCAGTTTGCTGCTTTGGTCTCAAAGAACCATTTTGAAGGACAATTTTGTTTACAGAGACTTTAACAATTAATTTTATTTGTCTTTTTATTTATTTACTTTGGACATTTAAAATGTTTTCCAGTTCCAGTGGTAAATGTTCGTTAGAATTTAAGATTTATTGATCTTTGAGAATGGATTATTATTGCATTGCATTATGCCATTCCCATATATAACATGAAAAATAGTCTCAAAACAACAATATTACCGTTTATCACAATTCTGGGACAATTTATCGTCCAGTAACATTTGTTATCGCGACAGGCCAGTGGAAATTATGCGAGCATAAAGCAGTAAGTAATAAGAGAATGAAGTCATAATTTATCGAGAATAATGTTGGAATATTACCACAATAAAGTTGTAATATTATGAGTTTATTCTAGTATTATTTCGACTCTATTAAGGTGTGACTTAATTCTCGTAGCTTAGACTTTATTCTTGTAATTTATTTGTTTCATTTTCTTAGATTCAAAGTCCCTCTTGAGTAAAAATGAATCGCGCCGGGAGTCCTACCTGACAGCACCTTCTCCTGCTGCTCCTCTCCCGGCGCGGGGTTCAGCAGGTGGGCGAACACAGCCGCGAACGGGTTGGCAGCCAGCGGCTCGGTCCTGTACATCTCCCAGAGCAGGTAGAGGGCGGTGAGCCGCTGCGGGGAGCTTGGTAGCAGGTCGGGCTGCTGGAGTAGCATGACCAACACCGAGCCTACCCTGAAGTGCTCTGCCTTCCCGAAGTAATGGTGGAAGTGAGTTGAGAGGTTCTCGAAGGTGTTGGAGCAAGCCTCCTCCGAGATGATGCTCAGCAGGTTGGACAGTTCCTTCGGAGCGAGAGTCATTATGGTGGTCTGCTTACCCGGTTTTGCTCTGCTTTAGCGTTAGCTCCTTTTTCAAAAAAAAAAAGAAAAACTAAACTAAACTAAACGACGTATTCCTAAATGAATAAAGATACAATAGTATCTCGGTCGAGAAACGTTAATTCATGTTTGAGTGCGTCCAGAAAACACCATAATAAAAATATTGACTCGGCATTAGCATCCTGAGCTCTGCTAGCAATAGCTTACCATAGTTTACATGGTAATGCTAACTAAAAACAGACAGAGGTCAATCAAAAACTTAACATTCCGACCCCAAAAAACACTATGAACGACTCTGTGACTACAACTTGTCGTATAAAACCAATAATGCCTCACTGAATCGGACATGTGAGTCAAAAAGCGTCTGACGGCCTTAAAATTTGGTTCCTGGAGAACCTAGCCGTTTAAATTTGAGATAGGACACTTCCGTCGAGTTGCATCATGGGACATGTAGTTTCATTATAAGGAATTTCACTTTTATTTTCAAATGAAAATTAGGTTGTAAGTACCATTTTCATCAGGCGCATTAGGTGAAGAAATACAAATAGTTATGGTTTATAAAAACTATTCAATTTAATCCACCATTAAGAAAGCGGGAACCCCAGATTCATTTCGCTTTGTTCGGTAATGTCAGTTTACCCAGCGGCCCTTGCGACGCAATTTCCTCTTTTTGCCCTGTCAAAATAAGATCTGTAAAACTAGAAGATGAGTTGACTTAAAGATACTGTCCCGTGGTGTACGTTTTGACACTAACAAATATACATTGAAAAAATTTTTTTGTGGAGTTCCACATTAGGACTTTACAAATAAAAAAAATAAAAATTACACATCAGAAGCTTGATTTGTTGTGAGTGCCGCGCGGCTCGGCAAGGGCTTTACCTGAAATGGAAACAGGGATACAGAGATGAAAGTTGTTGCCAAGTTCTTCCTGTGATGCTCGAAACCTGAAAGCTCGCAGCTATTTTCTGGACTGACTGATTCCATAGCCACACACAGTCAGACTGTAGTTATTATACACATCCCTGGCTTCGAAAGCCCAGGCGCCGCTGATCTCACCGGAGCGCTCATGAGCGAGATGAAAAAGAAAATCTGTTCTGTGTTTTTTTTTTCATGTACTTGCGAGTGGCAAAAGAAAAAGAAAAAAAAAAGGAAAAGCCACGTTTGCAATGCAGTAGGATTGGATGTTGTGAGTCAGAGGCAGAAGAAAGGCATGCAGCTACAAAATAAACTGATCAGGGTTCAAGAAGTTGCAGTATTACTCTGGACGCCCAAGAAGTACCACTTTGTTAAAGTACCTTTTATTCTGTTTTGGCGTCTAAATACAAACCTACAATCAATTATAGTGAACCAGATCAATTTAAAACTCAACTCAACCTTTGGATCCTCAACTTATGGAGTGAAGCTCTATCCAAGCTAACGTGTGCTAACTGACAACACACTGTAAGAAGGTGGTCTAGCAGCTAACTGTTCCCTAAATAACTGAAACTTGAGCAATTTTCTGTAATAGAATAAACATAATATAAGTGTAGTCCTTTGTAGAAGCCATTTGGATAAAAAAAGAAAAAAGAAAAGGTGATTATTTACAACAAAATGGCAAATAAATCAGAAAAAGTGACCAAGACCCGTTGCTCTTTAGGTGACAAACTAAACCTGACAAGTTTACTGATACTGAGTGGATCCTGATTGTATCAGCAGAAATAAATAAATAATAGTTTATTTTCTGACAGTAAATGTGTGAGAAAGAGACAAGAAAAGAGGAAGGATGTTAAAACATTTATTAGTAATTTCCTTTTGCTTTCTGTCTTACAAAACAGCAGTGTGCTCAGATTCCGTTTTGAAATCAGAAAGCTTGTCCGGAGAACACGTTGCACTAGGAAGATGCAGGAACACCACGGAAAACACGCAACAAAGAAACCCCCCAAAAAACAAAACAAGGAACAAAGACACGAAGCAAAAATATTTATATTTTTTCATCTCAGTCCAAATTCAGTCTTCTACAAAACGTGAGTGCACATCAAAAATAAAAATAAAATAAAATGAAAAATCTCCTCAAAAATGCTTCAAATCACAAAGAAATTGTGCTTAGTGTTGATACAAAAAATAACATACACAAGCTAAAATATGATTATTGAGATCCTGGGAAACATTTCAAAGATAAAACATGTTACTTTGGAACATCCGATTTGTTGAAGGAGTCTGTAACGTTTCACAGCTAATTTCTCCGTCTGCATTTTCTTTAAAGGGATGCTGCAGGAAAAGCAAAGTTGCCAAGATAAGCTCTCCTTCTGACACTGTGATGTCACAATGTGCACAGATTCTCATAGATATCTAAAGTCATATTTTCTAGTTTCGCTTTAAAATGTCTCTTGAAACACTGCACAGGGATATATTGTTTTTAAAAAGGTCCATCTTCACAAGTTTGGTTCTGATCCACACACAGACACCTGCATTCACGTCACGTCACACACAAACGTACATTTGGCACAAAATATCCGCCTCCATCTTTGATACGCTGCAAAGTCCAAACCCTCCGCAGCGCTGTTAAAGGGCCGGGACGGAAACAAAACACACAACAACAGAACACTTCAGATAAAGAACCAGACAATAAAACAAGGCGGTAAAACAGCTTAAAAAACAACAACTACAAAGACAGATATTATGAAATAAAATAGTAAATACATGTGTCAGTTATATATATGTATATATATCAGGCATGCAGACAGTCACGCTGTAAACTTTAAAACTGGCGACAGGTTCAGAATCTCCACCTGGCAAACTGTTTGGGTTCACTTCACAACCACAAAGACGGGGGCGGCTCAGAGTCTGAAACATGGCCATCCATCACCAAAGGTTTCTGATTTGCTGTTAGCCTGACAGCGGATTGCAATCTGGGCTCACATGTTTTGATTTATTGCAATAAGAAAACCTAAAACGGTTGCTTTCTCCATGTGCAGTGTGTAAAGGTAAAGGGGGGTTCTCCACTTTGAGTATTTTATTGTTTTAGTGCTTTTCTGCTTTGTAGTGTGTGAGGGAACCTTGTTGTAAGAAGTGCTGGAAGTGTTTGCTTATTTGAAGTGTGTGTTGTCATTATTACACAGAGGACTAGTCCAACAGGGCGTCCTACAACAAAAAGAGAAATTAGTTGTTTTCTGTGATTTTATCTATTGTATGGTCTATGATAGTATTAGGGCTGTTGTAGGTAGACAAAGGGAGGAGTAGATTCCTGTCAAAAAACTCAGACATTTTGAGCTTAATCTCAGAGAATGTTTCTCTGAGTTTCAAAAGTCAAACATTTTTGACTTTTTGGACATTTTCTGAGCATCAAAAGTAGAAATTTTTCAATGTTTGAAACTCAAACATTTCCTAGTTTTTTTCTAGAATTTCTTTTAAATGAATCAAATTTTTAGATTTTTTTTTAAAGCTGATTTTCAACCTTTTCAAACTCAGAAATTTAAAAAGTTTTAGTAGAAAATTTCTGAGATTAATCTCAAATGTCAGATTTTTTTTTTTTTTTTTTGGTCAAATGTACTGTTTTCCATCCATCTTGGCCCTAAAACACCGTCATAACGGTCAGTACTGTAAACCAGCGTTTTTAAAGTGTGTCCCACCAGGGGGCGCTAAGAGAGCCTCAGAAAGTTGGAGGGAAGATGAGGAAGAAAAAAATGGAATCCCATACATTTTTAAATGAGGTCCTCTTCATAAGATCTAATGTGTTTTTCAATCATTATTTAAAATATAAGTTAAAATAACCTTAGTCAGTGGAAATTGAAAAAAAAAAGGAATCATTTTGTCACTGGTTCAGCTGGTAAAATCTTCCTGATTTCAATAATCACAAGACAAAAAAAACCCATAAAAATAGTCATTAAATATCTTTTCCTTTGGCACTTACTCTCTTCATGGCAAAATGCAAAAAATAAAAAATAAAAACAATAAAAAAACATATGGTAAAGTTACTTTAGAAAGTTAATACTGAGGAAACATATATCTGACACAAACTAAACAAATCCTCACACACCTTCAAAAAATCCAGCAAACAGCTCTGCTGTTTCAGCCTTATCAGATTAAAGAGTTAAGAACTCAATGACCGAACAGGTGCAAACTTTTACTTTTAGACCTAAATAGAAAAGGAAAAGTGCAGCAGGGTAAGTCGATCACACTTCACAATTAATTACACGTTACGTTTTGTTTGTCTATGAAGTAAAATCTAAACAAAAAGACAATGAGGTTTGTGGTTGAAACGAGACAAAATGTGAAAAAGTTCATGAATAATTTTGCAAGGCACAGTATGTAACTTTTGGAAAGGCCAACAAGATTTTTCTGCCATTTGTATCTATTCCACTAATTCCACACTGATTTATAACCAATATAACGGGGAAACGTTGAATAAAAAGTAGAGTTTTCTCAGGAGTATTTCCACACTGCCTTCTCGCTATCTTTTGTTACCATGCTTGTATTTGCAGCAGGAACTTTCTGGAAACATTCTGGTGGCGTCCGTACGACCAAAACGCTTCTTTCTACACTTAAACAGAATGAAGAAACAGCATTCTGATGAATGGATTTACTCACAGCTAAAACATGTTGTGTATAAGCAAGTTATTAATTTATTAGTAAAACATGACCAGCAAATCACCTGAAATTCACCCGAGATAAATGGAGCGCACAGAATCATTTTGGAGATAATCTGGGAGATTAAAACACTTTATAAACAAGCCAACAAAAACCCAGTCCAATAAATAATCAGAATATCCAACTGAATTGAATAGTTTGAACCCAAAGGAGGAACATATAAAAGGCAGACCAAAGTTCACCTTCACTGCTCGAAGCAGGTGAGCCGCAGATTAAATGATCTCCACCTGTGAGCGAGACTCAGGCGGTCTCAGTCGGCGTAGTGCATGATGGACTCTACGTAGTTTCCTGGGAAGAGGCCGGTGGTGGCGTTCATCACCCCTTCGAACCATCCGTCCTCATTCTTTTTGACAACATAAATGATCGCTCCTTCCTGAAAGGAAAGCTCGTCCTCCTTGTCTGCGGTGTAATCATACACAGCCACCACTGGAGGGCGACACAAAAAAACAACAACCGTCAAGTAAATATGTTTTGTACTGTCGCAGTAGCTGCGTTTCTGTTACAAATCTGTGGGAAACTTTGTCGACATTCCGCTAATGTTGGAAAGAAACGCAATCACGCAATTGAGACGTTTCCATTAAATAAGAAACGCAAATAAAATCCCACTTGGATAAGCTTGTTCACATTTTAAGTCATTACCAAAACATGCCGTGCCGTCAGCCTCCTATCACTTCCTGTTGACGTCATTTTCACCAGTCATAACATCAGGCGGCTGATCACATGACTTATGTGATGCAAAACAATTGTTCTATTGTAGCTTTGTGAAATTTCAATCGTGCAAAAACCTCCTACCGAAAAACAAGATTTTTTGAAATTGTTGTGATTCCATAATGCAAATTTATTTTCGAAATTCCAGTTTGTGCAATTAAATGCTCAATGGGAATGCGGCTGATTGCAGTTTTGCAAAATACACTAATTTCGATACGGCGAACAAACCGTAGAGCAAGAACTTTGTATTGAAAACCTATCTTTTTTTTTATTTCCATGTTTCCACTAAGCCAATTTCTTTTCATAATTCCATTTTGAGCAGTTATATGATCAATGGAAATGCAGCTACTGTTGGTAAAAAAAAAAAAAGCTACTCGTGTTCAATCCACTTTGTTGAAAATAATTCTGTAGAAGAATAAAAAGATGGTGATGATGGTAAAAGTATAACTCTGCTGTAAAATGTAGTCCCAACAGGAATGAAATCCCAAACCTGAGTGTGTTTCTGTGACGTACCTTTCTCCATGTAGCTCCTGGGGGCCCACGGCGGGTCCTCTTCAGCGTACGGATCGCTGTACTCCACTACTTTAGAGTCTTCCTCACCGTGTCCATCCTCTGAAGGTTTCGGGGTGGACGGAGTCTCATCGGGCCCCGAAGGCGTGTCTGCTGACGGTTGAGGAGGAGGAGCGTCTGTAACTGTTGGTGAAGCGATGTTTTACAGAATAAACGAATAACCATCAGCATTAGTGAACAAACACAAGTCGGTTCATGTCGGTTCATTTGTGAAACAACCAAAACTCAACAGTTTTAGACTCACTGGATTCTTGAACTCGAGCAACGAAACCCATCAGAGGCAGCTGAGGGGTGAACTGCAGGAGCGATGGGGGCGGAGGCGAGGCTGCAAACACATCAGGAGTCAATTAGGACTTTAAACTACCAGTGTGAAACTGATGAGAGGATTTAGTCATTTCAAATCCAGTATACAGTTGGAAATAGGACAAAAATGCCCATTTGAAATTCTGACTGGGAAAAGTTAGTATCGCAGAAACCACCCCCAAGTTCAGAATCCAATATGGCTACGGCGCACATGAAAACTGGTTACATTTGTATATATACACAGCTTTTAATACAACTCCTCACAGGTTTTACTCTTGAAAATGTCCCTTTAGTATTTGAAAAGCTAAACTAGTAAAAAACACCAAAACACAGAACCTGCTGCTTTTCTAACGTCCAACTAGAAAACTCTCGACTCTGGAGTGATGTCATTCCCAAATCTGAGCTCCGACTTTATCAGTAAATCAAATTTACCACGACGCTAAAACCAGAAATTTCTCATTGACTTTTGTGTTTATATTGTTGAAATCAGAAGTTTACATACACCTGACCCAAAGCAAGAGAAGTTTGGTCTGGTTTAACCTCAGACAGTGAGAAAAAAGGTGTGTGTGTCTTTTTAGTAGCTGTATGTAAACTTCTGGTTTCACCTGTAATTGCGTAAAGTGGTCCTTTATCAGGACTTAATTTATACAGAATCAGTGTTTATAAACTGCCAAAATGAGGGTTCAAAGACATCCTTCTGTCACATTTTCAGCGATAAGTAAACTCGAGTGTTGCCTCCAGTGAAAGGCTGACCTGGGCTCTGGTTGTAGTAGGGTCCTCCGTTGACGTGGTTGGTAATCGGCTGACCAGTCACAGAAGGGGGTCGGCGGTATGGGAGTGACCCCCCCACCTGTGGGGTCTGTTGTCGAGGCTGGGGCCGGTTCATGCTGTAGAACTGGGGGACGAAGGGACCTGACGTAGCAGAGAGGGACTCTGTTACAAATCTTTAGAAACATTGAGGGAAACTTTCATTTCATACTTATTTAAAGGAAGCTGGAGTGGATTAAACAAGCTTTGTCTCCCTCTTCTGGTAGTGAGAGCAACTACACTCAGTTCTTATTCAAAGATGTGTAGGAAGCTTATGAGGAGGAAAAAGGCAACAAAAGGGTCACATTTTATCTGCTGTCTCTCTTAATGACAATGGATGTGAAGAGCCAGAGAACAAACTAAGGGTCCATTCACACCAACCCTGTTTCGTCCGCTTTAATCGAACTCTAGTTTGTTTGCCTAGAAAGTCCGGTTTGTCTGGGAAGGTGTGAACTAATTAAACTCTAATGAGGACCAAAAAATACTTTGTCTCGGTTCGGTTGAAGTGAACTCTGGTACGGTTCAAATGCCAAGCAAACCGGAGACCGGTCCAAGAGCAAGAAGTGGTCTAAAAAGCAGGGCATTCTGGGTAAATAAAACCAAAACAAAGGCGTGACTCTAGCAGGAGAAATAGTTTGTGGTCTTTTACCAACGAGAAAAGAGACCACTCTATTTTTGTCAACATTTTACGAAGAAGGAAGTTGCACTCCACTCGTGTTGTGTCCTTCAGTGGTTCTCGGTGCAGCGCCACCACAGGTGGGGAGGGGAACAGGCTTTTTCAAAGGGTTTAGTTCGTTCGACATCTGAAAATCCAATAAATGTTGCATTTTTGGTGTCGAAATGAACCAAGTCTACCGGACTATCAGGTATGAAAACACCCTTTAAAAGACTTGGGTTTGGGCCACTGAAGTGTTCTGGGACACACTCACCTTCAGCAGGTGATGAAGAGGAGGAGAGTGAAGGAGGAGGAGGAGCAGGAAGAGGAAGAGAAGACAGCTGGGACTGGCCTTCAGAGGTGCTGGGAGAAGGGTTAGAAGGTGGGGAGGTGTTGGTGTTCGGTACGTTTGTTTGGGAGCTTGTGTGAGGAGAGGAGTCGGCTTGGTGTGCGGGTGAGTTTGGTGGTAGGGGCGCGTTAGGCTGGGTTAAGGTGGTGGTGGAGGAGGAAGAGGAGAAAGAGGAAGGAGTCGGCGAGGGAGAAGGGGAGGAGTTTGGAGCTGTGGAGGAAGAGCTGGACGGTCCAGCAGTCGGGGAGACTTGGGGAAGAGGAGAAGGAAGAGAAAGAGGAGCCAGTTAGGAAAGAAGGTTAAAGAAGGGAGTGATGGAAGAATAAAGACTGGGTTTCTGTAGGTTTCACCAACTCAAATTTAAGACTTTTTAATACCATTAGGAATGAAATTTAAGAGCTGCATCTCCACCAGTTGGCTGGACAAACTTTGTCCAGCCAACTGGTGATACATTAGCATGAATCCATGATAGATGCAAAGAAGCTAGCTAGCTAGCAAGTAAGGGTATGTTAGAAGTGATTTAGTATTAGAACACAATGATATCTGAGAGTGACTCAGACAGATCTTATGCATAGATACTCCAACTACAGAACCTGTAGATTATTACACAGAGAAATCCGTTTGCGTGTCCTTAAGGATAAAGATTTAGTGGATGTAAACTGGGTCTGGGCAGAAGGGCAAACATCATTTTTTATTATAGTTCTCCATGTAGCATTGAGCTGCCAGTGACCCTTAGGGGGCGGTAGAGCCCCTTGTCAACTGGTTTGATTCTTCTTCCAGGTAGGACAGAATTATAGAATTTCAATCTTTGATTATTTATCCCATTGAAAGATTTACTCTTTTGGTTTGGTGTTAATTTACTGATTTTTCTTTTGAAGAAAATAAAAGCTAATTATTTTGGTGAAAAAATGATTGATTGTTAAATTTACAATTCAAACAAGGAAGCACAACATAATAATACACTTCATAACAGATTTTTTGGGGTGAGGCAGCTAAAACTGTCACTTCAGGAGTTCTGGGTAGAACATACAAACACAGTTGTTTTTTTAATCTTAAATGCAAAATGCATACATGTATATATTTGTACAGTTTTACCTTAGTTGCTGCTTTGAGTATGTTATTCTTTCAGAAAATAGCCTTTTTCAAGTCTACTCCAGTAGACGATTAATCCATTACTAAATTAGTTGACGGTTATTTTATCAATCATTTCATCACGATTAATCCGATTAATGGTTTCAGCCCAGTTCAGCTACACATCGTCCCATACAGCTGTGACATTAAGCAGGTGTCCCGTTACCTGGGAAGGTGGAGGGCGGCGACGGCGTTGGCACGGCGATGGGAACGCCCACACTGCCGCTGCCACTGTTCTCCCTGCTGCTGCTGCGACTGCTGCTGCTGGGGTGACTGCCTCCGCTGCTGCCACTGTACACACACACACACACACACACACACACACACACACACACACACACACGCACAAACACACGCACGCACGCACGCACGCACACACACACACACACACGCGCACACGCACACACACACACAAAATGCACATGCAAACAGAGGAAGATCAGTGCTGTGGAAACGGGTGTGTTCCAGCTGCAGAACGGACAAAATACGTGAAACTAATCCACTAATTTGAACTGGAATCAAAATTTTTGCTTATTAAAAACTGCTAATCTTTTTTAGCGATGTGAAGTTTCTCAAAAAAGGTTGCAGACAGGACATAAAGCAGTAAAAACTGCACGTCCTTAGACAGTCGGCATGGCGATGGAGGCAGGATGACAAACAGAAGCCTGTAGAGAGGAAGTCCAGCAGTAGCAGGTTCAGGTTCATGGCAGCAAGGAAGAAATGAAGCAACAAGCAGACAAGAACATGCAATCTGATTGGTTCAAAGCCGGAGGATGAAAGAATGTGTTGATCGTATGGGAAGAAGAGCTGACAACTATTTACATCTAATAAATATACAAAGGAAGAAAAATAACCAGAGAATCAGATAAAAATAACTTTTACACTAAGATGCACTTTGTAAAACGTGGCAAGTTTTATTTCTAGATGTTCTCAAACCTCTGCATTGCTTTATGTGGTGTCAACTCTTTACCAAACATATAATAAAATATCTAACAATTAACTGAGACGTAAAGTCATTTTAGCACCAAAATACTTTATGTATTCCAAAGGGAAATGAAATATTGTCATAACTCACATCTTGTTGTGAATCTCCAGTAGCAGTCAGTCTTGCAACAAATCTCAGGTGGCCTCTGACTAAAGACTTGTTTTATGTCGGAGGCGAAACTTTAAAATTGTATTTTCTGCTTCGTTTAAAATAACCATGTTAGAGCATCAGGACACGCCTAGCAGCTAACGTTACCGTTCAAACAAATGCTGGCTAAGACAAAAACATTTCCATCTGAGTTTCAAATTCCAGAGGAAGTTTCTTTGAATTCTTTTAGCGTTGAACTTGGAAACAAATAAAAACTCCATCCTTCATCCAGACATGTCATTCTAAAGGATGACGATGTAAAAACACAACAAACAGAAAAATAACCAAGTCTTTGTGGTACTTGTTTCAACACAATCCACTGGCTTAAAATAAAGAAAACCCATAATAGTTCTCTCTTACTAATGAACTACAAAAGTGCCAGAAATTTAATTATAGTTTTCCTTTTGACAACAGCTTCCAAAATCAAGGCACTTCTTTTCTGCTCTAACTATAAAGGACTAAACAAAATATGTTTCCTGCTAGAATTGAGGAAAACAGTCAATGAGATTGAATAAATGCACAACTGAAGATGAATCCACAGAAACAAAGAAACTCAGTTAGTTGGATGTAAGCAGATGGTTAGCACAAGATGACATTTAAACACAAAAAACTTTGCATATAAAAAACCAGAAGCAAAAGCAGCAGAGTGAACAGCAGCAGGTTTTAGACAAGCCAAGAAGAAAGCCGTGGCACAAAGTGATGAAACCAAGCCGAAAGCAAAATCCTACAGGAAGACGGAGAAGTCATGAGCAAAGAGGATGTGAACATTTACAGGAGTCTCAAGGGTTTCTGTAAAATGTCTTTGGGTCAGATTCTGCATCCTAAAAGTGGATGAATAATTAGCTTTTCTAGATCTGTCCACATGTTAGCGTTATTTGTTTCAACCACTTACAAACAGAGTATGACTGCAGTGGCTGCAAAGTTTCTGGTAAAATGTGTCCAGAAAAATGTGAATGTGTTAAATTCAAAATGTTTGCTCATGCTCAGTGAAAGTGCTAACTGGATAGCTCAGCTGTAAATGGAGGAACTGAGGCGTAAAAACGTGAAAGGTGCTAAGAAAGATGAATTAAAAGGCAACATTTAGTTTCAGGTGAAGCAGAAAGTTATCAAAATGTTTTATTCAACACATGCCAGTTTAGTTTGGGAATACTGCACCAGCTTACAGTGCATTGGAATTAGGGATGAACCGACTGCAGTTTTCTGGCCGATCGTCGATTACCGATCTTTAAAAAGTCTGACCTGCCGATTCCAATTTAGGTCGACACCTATGTTTTTTATTTGAAATATAGCAACACAATCGCTGAGTTGGCAACAGTCAGGTGATCGTTAACAGAGGTGGATTTATCTGTCGTCTGATTTATCGGTCCAACCCTGATCGTAATAAATGAGCTGAATCAGTGATTATATTCAGTCCCCTAGAAACTGAATTACGGGTTTTCATTAGCAGAAAACTAAAATGATCAAAATTAACATAAATAATTGCTTGTAGTATTTCCTCTGTGTGTAATGTATATAAAATAAACTGAATTTAAGAAATAAATGTACTTTTGAGGATGTGCTAATTTGAGTTACTCCATAATACTGCAAGCCACTTTTTATGACTACTATAAATTCTGCCTAAAATAAAAGCACAACCATCTCTAAATCTCTGCTTCCAAACTGAACGTCACTGTGTTGAACATCAGGAGTTTTGAGTTTGAAAGAACTGATTAGTAGAGCAAGAGCAGAGGCAGCGTGTCAGAAACACTGTTCTTTCAGTCCCGTCTGAACTCTGACCCGACTACCTGTACGTTCGGGGTCGCTGGTTCAGGGTGGCGGTGCGGACCGGACTCGGCAGCTGTCCAGCACCCGCATTGTTTCTCGTCGGGCTGGAGGCGTAATCGTTGGGCACGACGGGAGGGCGCACCGGCTCCAGTGTCCTGTAGGGGGAGTTCTTGTGCCTGTACGTGCAAGACGTAAAGGTGAGGAAGAGGTTCGCACAGGAAGACAGACCTGCGGCGCTGGTCGTCTGTCCCACTGCGTCAAACTCATTTTCATTTTGGGCCATGTCAAGATCATGTTCTTAAAGGGCCAGTGGTGCCAAAGTGTACTGATAAAACACATTAACAAACTGTTCAAATATTAATAAATAGCTGTAAGTTCAAAAATTAAAAATTAAAATTAAATAGTATCAAACATCTTGTGTTTTAGTGATATTGCACTATTGCATAGTTATGCACTATTATGTAATAGTCCAAAAAAACTGCAGAGATCTGTTGATTTTGTGTGAATTTTCAAGGAATCGCAAAAAAACCGGTGGGATTGATCGATACAATTTGGTATATGGACTCTAGAGGGCCACATTTGGCCCATGAGCCTCGAGTTTGACACCAACATATCCTGTTAAGAAACCACAAGGGGGCGCTGCAAAACACTGTTGTTTTTTTTTACCCTTAAAAAGTTGTAGTAAGTATGTATCTCTAACAGCTCCTGCTGTTTAATAGTCATGGTAATAATAACTACAGCAGAATGAAACTGACTCTCTCTTGCTGTAAAAGAAAAGTCAAGCCAAGTTTAAAGGTGGGGATGTATTTTTAGACAATTACTCCTGCAGCACAGCAAAACTGTAGAAATGTAGGACATAAAAGCAGAACAAAAAGACTCCAAAGTTTAATGACACATTCACAATAAAAAACAATCTCCCACGTTGAACCTCCCACTCCCCCCCAAATAAATCTAAGTTAGGCATCAATATAAACTCAGAAGGCACAATTAAAAATGAAAAAGGAAACAATTTCAAGACATAATGAGCACAGAGTCCGTTAAAAACTCTGCACCCACGGTTGAACAAACACGAGGCCAAACAAAAGGACTCATTGTTAGCCGAAGTAAAAGCTGGTGATGAATGGAGCGTTTCTCAGGCAGGATAAGAAACATCTATCTGCTACAATGTCGAAGCAGCCATGTGGGTGTCTCTATTCTAGATCTCCGGAGCTCACCAAGTTTTTTTTAATCCTGGCTGAATGGAGCTTTTTCACTGGAACAGAACGAATGCAGAATGTACAAAAATGACTCAATGTTCCTCTTGGTAGTTAGTTAATGCGGGGAAAAAAAAAAAAAAAAAAGAAAAGTGTGTGTGCTGTCAGAAGGAGCGGTTTGTCGGCAGCGTGTCGCCGACTCTCTGCTGTGCGTTTGTCCGCTCCCTGCCTGTCTAGGGGGAGGATTCAGAGAGGCAGGCTCGTTGGCACGGTCATCACCAACCGCTAAGCTGCTTCTGTTCGCCGCTCCGAGAAACCGCACTTTGGATCAAACAGTGAATGAAGATGGAGAGGTGTTGATGGACAGAAAGCTGGAGATTACCTCCATTTTCACAACACGAAGCACCAACACAACCCTTAACGGGGCGTACTGGTTTAAAGGTTCTGCTGTTATGCTATTATTTAACCACTAACTCTGTCGATTGAGGGTGAAACAGACGGTTGATCAGCAGGTTACAGGAAACTGGAAGGAACATAGAGAGAGACAAGAGGAGACGCCCGCTGACTCTGGCAGCTCAGCCTACCTAGCTCCATATGCATGCAGTTTTTCACACTCTGCCATATTACAATCACAACCTTTAAAACTGCAGTATGTAACTTGGTAGAGCTCTCACTGTGTACTGAAGTATTAGATAACCTGTGAAAAAAATCAAGCTCCTTCTGCCCTCTCCTTGTTGTTCTATTGCTGTCTGCAGAAATCCAACGCAACCAATCAGAAACAACCAATCAGAGTCAGAAGGAGGGTCTTAACACTGTCAATCAACCTCGTGTACACAGTGCTAAAGGTGCTAATGATGGGGAAACAACTTTAAGTTACAGGAAAGCCGTTTATCAGCCGTCATCTAATGTTAACTAGTCTTAGCATTCACAGCAGGCTCCGCTCTGGGGAACAGAGACAATGGGAGAGGGTGTGTAGCAGGGTATACAAAAGCATGATTGACAGCGCTAAGACCCTTCTCCTGTCTCTGATTGGTTGTTTCTGACTGGGAGTGGTGCATTTCTATAGGTGGCAGTAGAACTGCAGGGAGAAAGCTCGATTTTGTCACGGAAAAAATGCCTCATGTTCTATTGTGTGACAGTTTTAACAAATACGTAAAAAGAGACACCATATTTTTATAAAAGTTACATACTCCAGCTTTAAAGAACAAAAACAATGTATAGCTTAAGGAATATCTTACATATTAAAACCTGAAAACTGAGGTATACATTTGTGTTGAACCCTCTCTGATCTGATAAATAAAGTTCAGTGAAACCAACTGGCTTCAGAAATCTGTGTGTAATTTAATGACCCTAACAAAACAGCTGGAGCTGCAAAAGAATCTGGTAAAATGTTGGATGGATAATTTTTCAGGGCCCTGCTGGTAAAACAAAGCTACGGCTGCTGGTTTAAACGCCCACCAGACGCCGCCAGCCTGAGTTGTTTCTCATAATTGTGGTGTATTTTTTTGACGCGAGTTGAACAATACAACAATGTGCGTCTCCATCTAGCTTAGCAGTCTGACTGTCAGTGAGAACATACAGAAACAAAGGACCTGAAGGAGGGTGGTAACATAAAAAAGATAGACAGTGAAAACAATGTCAAAGGCTTAACTTTTGTATTTTGGCTGCCGATTGTTTGTTTTTAGCACAATTCCCAAATGAAGAGTGTCCCAGTTGGTATATGAATCATATATTGAGTCTGGGTGGCAGTGTGATGAAATGTGACACTGAAAGACACACCAAGATGCAGCTTTTGCTCCTATGTTTGAGGTTTGGTTTGATTCAAAAGAGGAAAATGAGTTTTTTTTTTCCTCGGTCAGAGTAGCAGTTAGATTGGAAGAGTCAACAATTATATCCACTTCTAAAGTGACAGATGCAGACAAAAGTGGATAAAAGATGAGGGAACAACTGTAGGATATAAAAAAAAATACAATTATAGTGTAGGAGAAAGGGGAGTAAAATACAGGTAGAGAAAAGACCAAAAGATGGATAAAAACAGCTTGGTGACCTAGATGTTTAAGGGCAAAGAACACAACAAGCTCTCACAACAGATGACGTCATTCCTCAGAGCGCTGGATTTCAGTACAAGTGTGTGTGGGTGTGTGTGATTTCCCTCTGCCAGCTCAAATCTGTAATAACCTCGTCACAGGACCCCGTCTTTTCAAGAGAGATTTAAATATGTGCAAGCTGCAGCCTGTTTCTAAGAGATTTCCAAAGAAAAACACAAGAGAAGTTGACCGTCTCATCCGACTTTAACCATGTGTCTTCCAGAGCACGAAAAGAGTCACAAAGTTGAATAATTTACAGGAGAGTTTGGAAATTACATTGGATGAGAGTAAACAAAGTGAAAGTAGGTGTACATACCCCAAGATTCCTTTCCCCGCCCTTGGAGGGCTGGGTGGTTTCTGGGTTGGGGGGTTAGTCCGGGACAGACCTCCTCCAAGTTTCAGACTCTGCTGGCCATTTACCTGAGAAACAAACGCTCTCTATCAAAACTACTTAGTATGGACAGATTTTGTTTTATTATAACCTAAATCTCTTTTAAAACTCAAAATTATACACCACTTTGTCTTCGTCTCCCAAAGAAAATCCCAATAAAACATTTTGACATTTGAAAAACGCAAAGAAGACCCAGAAGTTTAATACTTTTGTGGACCACCGTGTCACATTTCCTTGGTTAGCATCAAGTTTATGCCAGCATAGTAACATCTCTCGGTTGTCGAGATGGAAAATACTACAACAAGAAGAATCTCAACATCCGTATTTGTATACCAGTTTAAATAAAAGACGTTTCGAATAGAGGTAAAAAAGCCACAATTTGTTCTGAATGACCATCAGACATTATGGAGTATAAAATAAAGCAGCACTTCTTCCTTTTTGCTTTTAACATCTTCTACCATCTCCAGGTAAGACACATCAGACGCATTTTCTCTGTGCTGTGTGTAGGTGTGTTGCAGATTCTTACCTTGAACCTCATCAACCACTTAACACATCAGTGACAGCAGATGAAACAGGAGGAAAAGGAGACAGAAGACATTTTTATCCAAGGGTTAGACAGAGAGCAACTGCATCATGCAAATACGGTCAGTCGTTAGGAGCAGCAGACAGAAAATGCAAGGCAGAAAGAGAGCTTCAGATAAACACCGGCAGAGATAGAGATGGAGAAACACTGATCAGGATTCTTTAGTTTGGTTGTAGTTTGTGATGCAGTGGTACTGAGGCGCGCAGCTAAATAAATCATTTTGAAAACAGAGATAGATAAATAAAACTACAGCCCAAGGGAATACTTTTCATCATTTGTGATACACTGGAACGGTTCTCTGCCCAGGGTGACACTGTACCAGTGGGTAGCAGAAACACTTAAGAAAAGAGATATAAGATGTACACAAAACAAATTTCTATAAGTTGTTTGCTTGTCCAGATGTTAGAGAGAGAGAGAGAGAGAGAGAGAGAGAGAGAGAACGTTCTGCACAGTGAATTCATGCAAGAACTTCAGCCGGTTATGAACCAAAACATCCTGGTTTTGATTAAAACCGTTTTAGAAAGGTTAACATTTGATGTATCTCATCAGTCGCTGCCTTGCATCTCACTTTTTAAAGTCTGAGCTTCAGTTTCATTCACAAAAAAAAATCTTGTGAAAATTTTGAAATTAAAAACACTGTAAAAAATTTTCTATTGTGAGGTTTACACTAAGTTCCCCCAGGCAGATGGAGAAAAAGGGTGGATCCTGATCTAGAAAAACATTTTCAAAATTCTGCAAAAGTTTGCAAAATGCTGGATTACTTTTGTGAAATCCTAAACTACTTCTGTGAGTTCACGCAAAATTTTTGCTACATATTTAAGGATTTTAAAGTATCTCGCAAAAGTAAGTTGGAATCATTTTTTCCCTCCAAATCCCTTGAGGAGCTTTGTAGCTTTCCTATCATGTTCTCAATTAAAATAAAACCCAATACAATAACTTCCAATTTGTTTATTTTTCAGTTTCAGAGAAACGTTAACATGCTGGTCACCGTCACAGAACTTTACGGTCTGCCACTACCTTAATTACACCATCAATCGCTATTATTAGATCATTTCTGCCACCTACCTTGACTCCATGTCCAGTGTCATCCAGCACGCTGTAGTCAATGGGCTTCCTGATGTAGCGCACCGGCCTCTCCAGGTTGGCTGGGGCGATGATTTTATGGGAGCGGGACGTGTTTTTGTTGGTGGTCAGTATGCCAATCTCACGCCTCGCCACCTTCTCCTTGTGGATGTCGACTGTCTGTAAGGAGGAACAAAGAGTCGATAGTTGGACTTCTTATGATTTTGATCAAATGATGCGTAAAGATCATCCCAACAGATCACAAACCTCGTCCGTATATGTTGTAATAACTGTGTTTACCACTCCGAAACACTCACAGAACCCAAAGTCATTGTTTGTTTCGGAGTTGAACTCGATATTTCTTTCTCTCAGAAAGGCAGTTTGGCTTCAAATCTTCCCTTGGAATCACTGATTCCCTCATTTCCTCACCGGCTGTTCAAAACCCAAAGAGTGTTCAGTGTGAGAATGAAATTCTCACTGCTCTGTGTTCTCACACTGTGGATATTTTTGGAGAAGTCCTAACATGGATGACAGCCTGGCTGAGGAGCTTGGGAGTCAGTAGAAGAGAAATCCACACTGAAGGATACTTTACTCTGGTTATCGAGTGAAATTATTTACAGAAAGCAGCATCCATGTGTGCACCGTATGCGGGTGGACCACTGTATAGGGTCGGTCTGTTGAGAGTACATGAAACGAGAAAATGCTTCTTAATATAGAATGATTAGAGGATCAAGGAAGAGTCTAATTTGTTTTGGCATCGCATGTCATGAGGAGATTTTTACATGTTTGACAAAAAAACACCAAATACTTTTTTGATAAAGTGTGGACAATTACTGACATCCTATTACTCAGAAGACCTGTATGACCAACAGCAAGGCGGCCAGCTGACCTGGCTGACTGACTGGGTCCATCATCTCTGGATAACTGGGTGCACTATCCAGTTGAGGGAACATGGAGCACATGCACTGCTGTGTTTTTGTTTTTGACCATCTACCAGCGGATCGGTACCCAACATCTTTCTGTTTAGGTGAGCAAGCAGAAGGACTGCTGGGAAACCTGTATTGTGTGATCTGTATGAGAGTTAAAGACCAGAGTGATGAGGTGAAGACAACACAGCGTTTTGTCACCATAGAGACTGTCACTAAGGTGACAAGAACTATGACAGGTGAAGCTTCTTACTAAGGCGCCGTTTAATCTTCTGATCGAGATGAATGTCTATATTCTTAATATCTATGAAATGATCAATTAATTACCTAGAAAGATGACAAGAGTGGTATTTTCAATGATATGATGAGGCTGGAATAGGCTCTTAGTGTAACAAATTTTGGGAAGTTTTATTTTAATCTCCAAGATATGAATTCAAAACATTGTCATTTAGGAAAGCAGCAGAACAGTTTATCTGCTGCTTTCAATACAATGTTTATGAGCATCAATACATTCATAGATATATCCAATACATTATATGTTCAGATGAGGCGAAGCTGTCAGATTAAAAGCATCTTTTGAAAATAACAACCTTTAGGCAGGTATTAAAGATGTTTCATTAAGCCCATATTTATGTTTTTAAAAATTGTTTTTTTTTGTTTTAGTCTGATGTAACATACTAATATAATAATTTTGGGCTTAACTGTGAAACATAAGATTTAAAGCAAAGAAACACAAAACACTGAGTCCCTTTTGCCTCCAGCTACTGACAGAAAACCAAAGTTTTATGCCGTACACACACTGGACCTCGTCCTAACAATGGCTGTTTTTTTTAGTTGTCTCTGATGTTGCATGAATAATGTCTTGGTTGATTGCAGCTGCATAAAATGCTAAATGCGTTACATAAGAGTATCTTAGTGTTTGTGAATGCGAAGAAGCCTCACAGTGCGAAGTGTTCGCCTACATAACAGATGCGAGTGTCTTTCTGAACAGAAAGTGGTGATTATAACGTGCAACCTCAGCCTGGGCCGACACAAGCAGAGAGAAGCATCTCATTATGGCTGCATGGAAACTGCTCTGATAATTCGGAGGTCTAAGGGGGAGAATGGACCCTCTGTACCGCTCAGAAGTACAACTTAATTCCTCTAAGCGATCTTCAGTGCACTAATTCTTTTCAACCGAAGCCTTTTCCTAGCATTCGGCTTATTTTCTTATGGAAGCTGGCTGGGTTTGTCTGAGATGAATGCACTTGACAGAGCTGCCGTTGTGTAGGAGTGCAGCACAGTGTAACTCTCTGGATCGCTAGTGATGCTTCACACCTATGACTGTACTGGAGGGGTGCTTACATATTCCAGCTGAGTAACACAATGGGAAATTGTGCTTTATCTCCTCGGGTTTGGCATTCATAAAAAAGAGGCTATACTGACTCTCGACGGACACGTTGCAACGTGACGTCACGCACGCAAGAAGTTGCTAGCTGACGATGACGACCATTGGTTTTAGCTGTCAACATAATGTGTTAAGTCTTAAATGTACACGTGATATATACAAGAAAAAAGGACGCAGTGCTTTGCTATTACTTCTCAACACTGCGACAACTAGGTAACAAGGTCAGGAAAAAATGTTAATTAAAAAAAATATAGCAATGGAAAGAGAGGAGGTTCAGTTATGCTAGCTTGATTTTGACAACCTT